CCCCAAGAGCGCCCCAAGACGGCCCAAGAGGCCTCCAAGACGCCCAACATGGCCTCCAAGACGGCCCTGAAGCGCCCCAAGAGGGCCCCAAGACGGCCCAGAGAGGCCCCAAAGACGGCTCCAGACGGCGTCAGACGGACCAGGAACGCCCTAAGACTGCCAAAGAGACCCCCAGGAAGCCCCCAAAGGCCCCCAAGAGGCCCAAGGAGGCCCCCAAGATGCCTCCAAGAGGCCTCGAAGAGGCCCCCAAGAAGCCCCCAACAGACCCCAGGGGTGCCCCAAGAGACTCCTAACAACCCTCATCCTCCTACTCTATTTCTTCCTCTTCCTCTTCTGTTCATAATCATTCTCTCCCATGTGTTCCCCGAAAGCTTTCCAAACCGACTCGGGGAACTCATGGTCCGATAGCTTGGCCAAGCTCTAGTCCAACTTTCGGCCACATCGGCGTTTCCAAAAAGGCAGGGGGCGGCGGTGATTCGCCGTAGGCGTCTTCGATCCGCCGCCCCCTTTCGCTTGAGCAAAGGGGTGCCCGGCGTGCCGAACCCTATCGGTTTTGGTTTTGGCTCTTTTTCCAAAAGAACTCTCCCAATGGGTTTCGGCCCGTCCCGCCGGGGACCCAGGATTTTGTTCCACGGACCTCGCTTCCCCAATTTTCTGCCCCAGACGGCTCCAAGATGGCCTCCAAGATGGCCAAGATGGCCCAAGATGGCCTCCAAGATGGTCCAAGATGGCCTCCAAGTCCGCCCAAGATGGTCCAAGGCGGCCTCCAAGACGGCCCAAGAGAGTCCAAGAGGGCCCCAGACGGGCCAAGAGGCCCCTCAGAGGCCTCCCAGTCGGCCCAAGAGGCCTCCAAGAGGTCCTCCAGGAGGGCCCGAAGAGGCCAAAATCATTGATTTTCCTTCGGTTTTTGAAGGACTTTGGAATGTGCTTCTTCTCGGCATTCCGACGGCTCCAGACGGCCCAAGAGGCCCCCAAGATCGCCCTAGAGGCCCCCAAGATCGCCCCAGGACGGCCCAAGTGGCCTCCAAGATGGCCCGAAGAGGGCCCCAAGACGGCCCAAGAGGCCTCCAACACGCCCAAGATGGCCTCCAAGACGCCCAAGATGGCCTCCAAGACGGCCCCGAAGCGCCCCAAGATGGTCCCCCGTTGGCCCAGAACGGCCCCCAAGACGGCTCCCGACGGCGTCAGACGTGCCAGGAACCCACCAAAATGGCCGAAGTTGGCTCGAAGCTGGCCCAAAAGGGCCCAAGAGGCCTCCAAGAGGGCCTCCGGGAAGGCCAGAAGAAGCCAAAAACATTGATGTTCCTAAGGTGTTTGACGGATTTTGATATTTCCTTCTTTTCGGCCTTCCGACGGCCCGAGACGGCCCAAGAGCCCCCAAAGATCGCCGAAAGATCGCCCAAGAGGCCTCCAAGACGGCCAAGATGACCGTCAAGACGCCCACGTGTTCCCCGAAGGCTTTCCAAACCGATTCGGGAAACACATGGTCCGATGGTTTGGTGGCCAAGATGGCCCAGGATGGCCTCCAAGATGGTCCAAGATGGCCTCCAAGTCCGCCCAAGATGGTCCAAGACGGCCTCCACGACGGTCCAAGAGAGTCCACGACGGCCCAAGACGGCCCAAGAGGCCCCCCAGAGGCCTCCCAGACGGCCCAAGAGGCCTCCAAGAGGTCCTCCAAGAGGGCCCGAAGAGGCCAGAATCATTGATTGTCCTATGGTTTTCGGAGGATTTTGGAATGTGCTTCTTCTCGGCATTCCGACGGCTCCAGACGGCCCAAGAGGCCCCCAAGATCGCCCAAGAGGCCCCCAAGATCGCCCCAGGACGGCCCAAGTGGCCTCCAAGATGGCCCGAAGAGGGCCCCAAGACGGCCCAAGAGGCCTCCAACACGCCCAAGATGGCCTCCAAGACGCCCAAGATGGCCTCCAAGACGGCCCCGAAGCGCCCCAAGAGGGTCCCCCGTTGGCCCAGAACGGCCCCCAAGACGGCTCCCGACGGCGTCAGACGTGCCAGGAACCCACCAAGATGGCCGAAGTTGGCTCGAAGCTGGCCCAAGACGGCCCAAGATGCCCCCAAGAGGGCCTCCAGAAGGCCAGAAGAGGCCAAAAACGGCCCGAGACGGCCCAAGAGCCCCCAAAGATCGCCGAAAGATCGCCCAAGAGGCCTCCAAGACGGCCAAGATGACCGTCAAGACGCCCACGTGTTCCCCGAAGGCTTTCCAAACCGATTCGGGGAACACATGGTCCGATGGCTTGGCAGGTCTGGCCTCAACGTTCGGCCACATAGGCGCTTCCACAAAGGCAGGGGGCGGCGGTGATTCGCCGTAGGCGTCTTAGATCCGCCGCCCCCTTTTGATTCATCAAAGGCTTGCCCGGCGTGCCGAACTATATGGCTCTTGGCTTTGGTTTTTTTCCGAAAGAACTCCCCCTGGGGCTTCGGCCTGCCCCGCCGGCCACCCGGAAAGGATCTCAAAACGCGTCCGTCGTGCCTCTGTTTCCTCCAGTTGGCACAAGATGGCGTCCAAGACGGCCAAGATGGCCCAGGATGGTCTCCAAAATGTCTCCAAGACGGCTCAAGATGGCATCCAAGACGGCTAAGATGGCCCCAAGATGCCTCCAAGACAGCCCAAAATGTACCCAAGACGGTCTACGACGGCCCAACAGGCCCGCAAGAGGCCTCCAAGACGGCCCAAGAGCCCTCCAAGACGTCCTCCAGGAAGGCCCGAAAGAGCCAAAATCATTGATGTTCCTTTGGTTTTTGAAGGATTTGGGCATTTGCACCTTTTCGGCTTTCCGACGGCCCGAGACGGCCCAAGAGGCCCCCAAGATCGCCCAAGAGGCCTACAAGAGGGCCCCAGGACGGCCCAAGTGGCCTCCAAGACGCCCAAGATGGCCTCCAAGACGGCCCCGAAGCGCCCCAAGAGGGTCCCCCGTGGGCCCAGAAAGGCCCCCAAGACGGCTCCCGACGGCGTCAGACGTGCCAGGAACCCACCAAGATGGCCGAAGTTGGCTCGAAGCTGGCCCAAGACGGCCCAAGAGGCCCCCAAGAGGGCCTCCAGGAAGGCCAGAAGAGGCCCAAAACATTGATGTTCCTAAGGGTTTTGACGGATTTTGATATTTCCTTCTTTTCGGCCTTCCGACGGCCCGAGACGGCCCAAGAGCCCCCGAAGATCACCGAATGATCGCCCAAGAGGCCTTCAAAATGGCCCCAGAACGGCCCAAGAGGGCCCCAAGACGGCCCCTTGAGGCCCCCAAGACGGCACAGGAGGCCTTTAAGACGCCCAAGATGGGCCTCTAAGACGGCCCTGGAGCATTCCAAGAGGGCCCCAAATCGGCCCATAGAGGCCCCCAAATGGCTTCCCACGGCGTCAGACGGACCAGGAGCTCAACGGCCGAACATGGCCCTAAGATGGCCCAAGACGGCCCAAGAGGCCTCCAAGAGGGCCTACAGGAAGGCCCGACAGGCCAAATTCATTGATTTCCCACGGGTTTTTGAAGGATTGTGGCACTTGATTTTTGTCCGCCTTCCGACGGCCCGAGACGGCCCAAGTGCCCCCGAAGATTGCCCAAGAGGCCCAAGACACGGCCCCAAGAGGCCCCCAAGACGGCCCAAGAGGTCTCCAAGACGCTCAAGATGGCCTCCAAGACGGCCCAAGAACCCTCCAAGACGTCCTCCAAGAAGGCCCGAAAGGGTCAAAATGGCCTCCAGACGGCCAAGATTACCTTCAAGATGCCCACGTGTTCCCCGAAGGCTTTCCAAACCGATTCGGGGAACACATGGTCCGATACCTTGGCAGGTCTGGCCTCAACGTTCGGCCACGTAGGCGCTTCCAAAAAGGCAGGGGGCGGCGGTGATTCGCCGTAGGCGTCTTCGATCCGCCGCCCCCTAAGGTCTTGCCGCAGGGGTGCCCAGCGTGCTGGATGTTTGGAAGTTCTGGATTATTTTAGAACTCCCACTGGGGCTTCGGCCGATGCCGCCGGCCACCCAGAAGGCTGCGTCCGAGGTGGCTGCAAAGGTCTTCCCTGGGCTAGATGGCTCAGGGAATCCAAGATGGCCCATGAGAGTCCAAGGTGTCTCCAAGCTCGTCCAAAGAAGACTCCAAGACGGACCAAGACGGCCCCTTGAGGCCCCCAAGAAGCCTGCAAGACGGCTCCAGGAGCCTCCCAAGGTGCTCCGGGAGGGTCCGAAGAAGTAAGTATCATTAATTTGCCTAGGTGTTGAATGGATGTTGGTACCTACGCTGTTTCGGCCCTCCGACGGCAAAAGACGTCCCAAGAGGCCCCCAAGATCGCACCAAGGTGGCCCCAGAGGCCTCCAAAATAGCCCCAGGACGGCCCAAGAGGGCCCCAAGGCGGCCCCAAGAGTGCCCCAAGACGGCCCAAGAGGCCTCCAAGACGCCCAAGATGGCCTCCGAGACGGCCCTGAAGCGCCAAAAGAGGGCCCCGAGTCGATTCACAGGGGCATCCAAGACGGCTTCCGACGCCGTCAGATGGGCCAGGAACGCCCGAGGACGGCCAAAGCTGCCCCGAACAAGCCCCCAAAGGTTCCCACAAAAAGCCCTGCGAAGCTCCCAGGAGACCCCAAGAGTGCCCCACAAGAGGCTTCCAAGAGGCGTCCTCCTCCTTCTTCTCGTCATTCTCCTCCTACTCTTCTTCCTCCTCCTCATACTCCCTTGTCCTTCTTCTCTTCATTCTCCTCTTCCTCACGTGTTCCCTCAAAGGTTTCAACGACAGCTGGGGGAACACATGGTCCGATAGCTCTAGTCAAGCTTTTCGGCCACGTTGGCGCTTCCAAAAGGCGGGGGGCGGCAATCATTCGCCGTTAGGCGTCTTCGAAAAGAATGGCTCGGCCGGCCTATCTTGTAACGTCCCCGTGATGGACCCCGACGAACCCGTTTTAGAGTCAAACCCTGACCGCCCCTGTGCGTCCGCAAGCGCATACCCCAGAGGTCGCACCTGCTTCTGCGCATCGTCCTCGCAAGCCCGCTCCCACGGGGCAGCGCGGGCCTGCTTCTTCCGCTCCTGCATCAGCTCGTGAGCTGCCTGAGCCAGCCATTTCGAGCAGAGTTGTGAGTGCAGCTCATGGTCTGCACCCGCGCACACCAGCTCAACGCATTCGCATGCAAACTTGCGCGCAAGCACAACAACTCCAACGCCTGTGAAGCACGCATGCTCAAACGGCACGATAGCGACACAAGCGGAATGGCAACAGGCACACTCTCAACTGTGGTAATGTGTCTGAGCTGGAAAGAGCACACAGCGCGCGCAGGGGCTGGGCGTCTTGCAAAGACCACCAGTGGCAGTACTGTTCCGTCGCCGCCTTGGGTGATTGGGCGGATGGCCCATGACAGACAACAAACTGATTGGGCACCATTGGCTACTTCCCGTCTGGACCACTCTCGGCGGAGAGCGAGGGGAGGAAGTGAGAAGGAGAAGACCTTCTCAGAAGGCTCGGAAGTTCCCCTGGCCTTCTGAGAAGTTTTCTAAGCCTTCCCCGAAGACAAACAAAAACTTCTCAGAAGGCGCGAGGGCTTCTGAGAAGTCTGGAGGCCAGTCCACAAGAAACCTTCCACAAGACACCCAACTCTGAAACCCCAGGACGTCCACTGATTTTTTTGGTGTGGCAGCAACCCAGGGCACCCTGGAGGCAAGCAAGGTGTTTCTTGGCATGTTCAGAAAACGCTCCTGGGAGCCTTCCGTAATCACCTGAGTGGCCGGAGTGGCTCCTCCAATGGCCACCGTTGGACCCCAGCGGCCTCCCGCAAGCCCAGAGCCGCCTCCCGTGTCTTCTCCAGTGGCCCCCCCGCGGCCTCCAGTGGCCTCCAGTGGCCTCCCGTAGCCCCCAGTGGCCTCCAGCCAGGCCAAATGACAAGAAGAGGCTCCCAGGATCGTCTCCTGAAGGCATGGGCGTCCACTGTACTTCCCGCCTGAACCGGTCGGGACAAGCACACCTAGACGAGCGCGTTCCACCACTCGCAAATGAGCTACTCGCAAATGGCCTGGATCCCACGCGAAGGACCTGCGATAAACTACATCAAAACAAGCATCTGTTTTTCGGACAATTGCGAGTTGGCGCGTTGCGAGTAGTGGAACGCGCTCGGAGCACACCGCGAGAAGGTGGCACGGGCTGGTTTCGCCCGGGCTGGATTCGCCGGGGCTGGTTTCGCCCGACGCTGGTTTCGCCGGCGCTGGTTTCGCCCCGCTGGTTTCGCCCAGCTGGTTTCGCCAGGGCTGGTCTCGCCGAGTCCGCTGCCGCCGCCGTCGTTGTCGTCGTCGCCGTCGCCCTCCTCCTCCTCCTCCTCCTCCTCCTCCTCCTCCTCCTCCTCCTCCTCCTCCTCTTCCTGCTCGTCCTCCTCCCCTCCTAGCTCATCTTCCTCCTCCTCCTCCTCCTCCTCCTCGTCCTCGTCGTCCTCCTCCTCCTCTCGTGCTCCTCCTCCTCCCCCTCCTCCTCCTCCTCCTCCTCCTCCTCCTCCTTCTCCTCCTCCTCCTCCTCCTCCTCCTCCTCTTCCTCCTCCTCGTCCTCCTCCTCGTCCGTCCCCTCCCCCTCGTCCTCGTCGTCGTCCTCCGCCTCTTCCTGCTCGTCCTCCTCCTCCTCGTCCTCCCAGGGGCCCCTCGCTCACGTTTTCTCGCAGAAGGCCTCTGGCTGCGCATCCCTCATCCGACGCCCCGCGTCCGAGCGCAACGGGTGCCCGAATCGGGCACTGGGAGGGCGCCGTCGTCGTCTCCTTCCTCCTCCTCCTCCTCCTCCTCCTCCTCCTCCTCCTCCTCCTCCTCCTCCTCCTCCTCTCCTCCTCCTCCTCCTCCTCCTCCCCTCCTCCTCCTCCTCCTCCTCCTCCTATTCCTCCTATTCCCTCCTATTCCTCCTATTCCTCCTATTCCCCCTATTCCTCCTATTCCTCCTATCCCTCCTCCTCCTCCTCCTCCTCCTCCTCCTCCTCCTCCTCCTCCTCCTCCTCCTCCTCCTCCTATTCCTCCTCCTCCTCTTCCTGACCAGTCTGAGCGGCTTCCGCCCGGGAAATGCGACTATCGGAGTTTGGGTCCGAAATTCCACATTTCCAGACCAAAGTCGGATTCTGGGCAAATTTCAGGCCCTCCTCGTCCTCGTCCTCCTCCGCCTCGTCCTCCTACTCCTCCTCCTCCTCCGCCTCCGCGGGACGGGCGTGCAGACCCTAACGGTCGGGTCGGGTCGGGCGGACCCTAACGGGCGGGTCGGGTCGGGACGGACGGGCGGATCCTAACGAGCGGGTCGGGTCGGGCGGGCGGGACATGAAAGTGTGGTGCATAATCGAGTGGGCACGCGAGAGCCCTAACGGTCGGGTCGGGTCGGGTCGGGCGGACCCTAACGGGCGGGTCAGGTCGGGTCTCGGGCGGACCCTAACGGGCGGGTCGGGTCGGGCGGGCGGGACATTAAAGTGTGGTGCATAATCGAGAGGGCACGCGAAGCCCTAACGGTCGGGTCGGGTCGGGTCGGGCGGACCCTAACGGGCGGGTCGGTCGGGTCGGGTCGGGCGGACCCTAAACGGGCGGGCCGGGTCGGGCGGGCGGGACATTAAAGTATGGTGCATATAATCGAGAGGGCACGCGAGAGCCCTAACGTCCGGTCGGGTCGGGTCGGGCGGACCCTAACAGTCGGGTCGGGGGCGGACCCTAACGGGCGGGTTGGGTCGGGCGGGCGGACATTAAAGTGCGGTGCATCATCGAGAGGGCACGCGAGAACCCTAACGGTCGGGTCGGGTCGGGCGGACCTTAACGGGCGAGTCGGGTCGGGTCGGGCGGACCCTAACGGGCGGGTTGGGTCGGGCGGGCGGGACATTAAAATGCGGTGCATCATCGAGAGGGCACGCGAGAACCCTAACGGGTCGGATCTGGTCGGGTCGGGCGGACCCTAACGGGCGGGTCGGGTCGGGTCGGGACGGGCGGACCCTAACGGGCAGGTCGGGTCGGGTCGGGTCTGGCGGCCCTAACCCTCTTCCCTCCTCCCTCCGTCCTGCCCTCCCTCAGCCACCTCCTCCTCCTCCTCCTCCTCCTCCTCCTCCTCCTCCTCCTCCTCCTCCTCCCTCCTCCTCCTCCTCCTCCTCCTCCTCCCTCCTCCTCCTCCTCCTCCTCCCCCCCCCTCCTCCTCCACCTCCTCCTCCTCCTCCTCCTCCTCCTCCTCCCCCTCCTCCTCCTCCTCCTCCTCCTCGTGCTCCTCCTCCTCCTCCTCCTCCTCCTCCTCCTCCTCCTCCTCCTCATCCTCCTCCTGCACCTCCTCCAGCAGCCAGGCGAAACCAGCCCGGGCGAAACCAGCGTGGGGCGAAACCAGCGTCGGGCGAAACCAGCCCGGGCGAAACCAGCGTCGGGCGAAACCAGCGTCGGGCGAAACCAGCCCGGGCGAAACCAGCCCGAGCGAAACCAGCGTCGGGCGAAACCAGCCTGGGCGAAACCAGCACCAGGCGAAACCAGCCGGGCGAAACCAGCCCAGGCGAAACCAGCACCAGGCGAAACCAGCCGGGCGAAACCAGCACCGGGCGAAACCGGCACCGGGCGAAACCAGCGGCTGCCGCGCGCGCCGGGGGGACGCCGCGCCTTGACAAGTGGCGAGGCGTGGGCACGCGCAGGCACGCGGCACGGGGCCCAGGGCCCCCTGTGGCGCACGGGCGCGCAGAGGCACGCAAGCGAGCCGTAATCTATACTCGATACGGCAGGAGCCACCAGACCATAGGAAACCTTCCATCGGGGATGGACAGAGCTCCCTTTAGTGAAACGTGGTTTGGTGAAAACGACCTCGGGCCCAAACCTGGCGGGCGCAAGGCTGGAACATGACGGCCGCGACGCCCTCTCGAGAACCGATAACGGACAATTCACTAATCGACGTGTCAGGGTGGAGGCTCTGTCCACCCCCGATTCCACAAGAGTAGGGGAACGAACAATGACAGAAGCATACAAAGCTCGGAGATCCGCACGGACTTCTCGGATCTGCACTGGACCCCCTGGCGGCGCCTTCGGCGCCGCCCCTGGCGCGCTCCGCGCGCCCGGGAGGGGGTCCAGCGCCGATCCAAGAAATCTGCGCGGACCTCAGGTCTTTATGTCTATGTCATTGCTTGTTCCCTTAAAGAGACCCAACCCAGCCTTGGGACCCCAGGACGTCCATCGATTTCTGGTGTGGGAGCGTCACGCTCTCCACAGCAGAGCCATCTCGAAAGCCGAGAAGCCTAGGGCACCCTGGAGACAAGCAGGGTGTTGCTTGGGATGGGCCCCCACTGGAAATTGCCCCTTCCCCATTGGCGACGTCCCCGCGAACAGTGTCCCGAGGCTGCCCTCCTCCCTCCTCCGCGCCGCTCGCTGTTCATCCCTCGTCCCTCCCCCCCCCCTCTCGGCGGCGAGCACGATCGAACAGGGCGCCGCGAGGACAGCGAGGACGTCTCCACTCAGAGCCCGCCCTCCCTCCTGAACCCGTCCCCCCTGCCCCCCCCCCCCCCCCCCCCCACAGTAGAGGTGCGACAGGGCTTGTCGCACCCCTCCTCCCGGACCCCTTTCCCCCCCTCGCGGCTCCTCCGCCCAGCCCCCGCCCGTTTCTCGCCCAGCAGCCCTCTCTAGCCTGAATCAAAACTGCCCGACAACGCTCCCTGAGCAAGATGGGAGCGCGAGGTGGCATCGCAGGTGCGGGGGGGGGAGGGCAATGGCTCACCTCATCTAAAAGAGGAAGAAGAAGAGGAAGAAGAAGAAGAAGAAGAAGACGAAGACGAAGAAGAAGAAGAAGAAGAAGAAGAAGGATCAGGAGACAACGAAAAGAAAAAAGAGTGACGACGAAAAAAACGCCACATACATAATTTGTTTAGCGCTGCGCGCGGATTTCTCGGATCTGCGCTGGACCCCCCGTACCGGCGCGCGGAGCGCGCCAAGGGCGGCGCGCGGAGCGCGCCGCCCAGGGGGGGGCCCTGACGCCGATCCAAGAAATCCGCGCGGAGCGCAAAAAGTTTATGACGATGCTGTTTTTGTTTTCTTCGAGTACAGTGCGGGCGCGGCCGCAAGAAACCCTCGCAAGAAACCCAACCCTGAGAACCCGTGCGCGAGGTGCACCTGAAGGGGAAACCTGGAGCACCCTGAACGCAGCAGATCTTCCAACGGCTGCGGAAAGTCATCGCGAAGCGCGAGGAGCGAAGAAACCCAGGGTACCCTGACGAAAAGCAGGTGCTTTTTTGATGCGAGCCCCCACTGTATGGCTCATCTCGTCCTTCCTCTCTCATCTCCTGCCCATCCGCCTCCCCCCCGCTACGCCCCCCCTCCCCCCGAGGGGGGGGGGCCTTCTCGGCCCGCTGCTCGTCCGTGCGGGAGCTCAGCTCCTCCAGCTTCGCCACCGCGCGGCCGACGTCCTCGGCCCCACGACGAGGGGGGAGGGGGGGAGGGAGAGGAGGAAGACGAGGAGGCGGAGGAGGAGGAGGAGGAGGACGACGACGACGACGAGGAGGAGGAGGAAGAAATGAAGAAAGTAAGGAAGAAAGGAAGGAAGAAAGGAAGGCAGGAGGAAGGAAGGCAAGAAGGAAGGCAGGAAGGAAGGAGAAGGAGGAGGAGGAGGAGGAGGAGGAGGAGGAGAGGGAGAGGGAGGGGGAAGACGACGAGGAGGAGGAGGAGGAGAGAGGGAAGAAATGAAAGAAGGACGGAAGGAAGGAAGACAGGAGGAAGGCAAGAAGGAAGGCAGGAGGAAGGAGGAGAAGGAGGAGGAGCAGTGGGAGGAGAGGAGGGGAGGAGGAGGAGGAGAGGAGAAGGAGGTGGAGGAGAGGAGGAGGACGACGAGGCCGAGGAGGAGGAGAGGAGGAGGATAAGGAGGAAGAGGAGAGGAAGAGGGAGGGGGGGGGGGGGGGGGGGGGGGGGGGGGGGCTTTCTCCTCCCCTCCCCCCTATCCCCACTGGTCCCAACCGTGAGGGGCTACAGCGATATCGACGAGACAGACGATGCTGGAGAGCCGTGAAGGAAAAAGAGAGAGATCACCACGATAATCATCAGAGATTGTTTCGTGAACGACGATCTCAAGGGATCGAGGTCCGCCCACCACCACCGTCCTCCTCCTCCACGTCCTCCTTCTCATCCTCCCCGTCCTTCTCCTCCTCCTCCTCCTCCTCATCCTCCTCGTCCTCCTCGTCCTCCTCCTCCTGAGGTCCTGAGGGAGCAGCGCGGGGCGCATTGGGAAGGTCCTCCCCGGTCCGCATTGAGAAGCTGGTTAACCCCCCACCGCCCAGCTCGAACAACCGAGCCAGAGGATGGGCCTGCCAGTAGATTGCAGCGGCAGAGAGAGCGCTCTCGAGAGAGCCGAGAACGACCGCCCGCTCGAAGCGCTCGACAGCGGCTACATCCTCGGGCGCAGGGCTGGACCTAAACGATGGCTCTCGTTTTGTTGTTCGGTTTGCTCTACCTGTTCTCCTGTACCTCCCTGCCAGAACGACAAACAAATCACAGCCGAAGTCCAGGAAAACAGCGTTCAGGTCCAGCCCTGCTCGGGCGGGAGGGGGGCCGAGCCCAGTCCTGGCGGGCCCTCGGGCGGAGGGGAAGGGCGGAGGAGGAGGGGACGGGACGCCCAGCAGGGGCTATCATAGGGGTGCAAGACGGGGGCAGGGGGGGCGCAGATCCCTGGCCCGAGGCACGCGCGCGTCCCAGGGGCGGCCAGGGGTCTCTTTCAAAGGAGAAGAGGCGCCATGAAATCTGGGAAGGGTGTCATGGCCCAGGCCACGATACGGCCAGACCTGGGACATATAAGAACATCCTTCCAGAGCGCGAGACCCTCTGCCAGCCAAACTGAAGAGCATTCGATGCCCCCCCCCAGGATGCACAGGAACACCCAACAACCACGAAGGACTTTCGGGTGCCCTCCCCGAGGCGACCTTGATCTTATAGAACAGGGGATATGTCGCCCCCTATTCCAGGCTTCGCGGGTCTCTCGAATGGACCAACAATTTGGGGCCAAACCCTGGCAGATACGATGGGGGGCGCCCATCCTCGATAGGGGTGCGTCCGAATAGCCCCTCTGGGCGTCCATCTTAGGGTTCCCCCTTGTTTCTGGGCGGCCAAGCATTGCGGGCGGAACTCGGGGACTGGAGGAGAACAGTCGCCTGCGGTTTTCCCTGGTCCCACCCTGTCCCCCCCCTAGTCCTCCTCCTCCTCCTCCTCCTCCTCCTCCTCCTCCTCCTCCTCCTCCAGGTCCTCCTCCTCCTCCTCCTCCTCCTCCTCCTCCTCCTCCTCCTCCTCCTCCTCCTCCTCCGACCACATCCCCCCCCTAGCCACCTCTCTCTCGGCCGCGCCCCACCTCTGCAGTCAGTGAGCGAGCGGCGTCCTCTGCCTCCACGCCGGTGCGCCTGGCCTCTTCGATGGCCGCGCCGAGGCCCGCCCTCCGCCCGCGCGCCAGGGGGGGGGGGGGGCGGCCCCCGCCTCGCTCCCTCCCTCCCTCCACCCCCCCTCCCTCCCCCTCCTCCTCGTCCTCCTCCACCTCCTCCCCCTCCCTCCTCTCCTCCTCCTCCTCCTCCCTCGTCCTCGTCCTCGTCCTCGTCCTCCTCCTCCTCCTCCTCCTCCTCCTCCTCCTCCTCCTCAGCAGCATCAGCAGCAGAATAATAATAAGAAGAAGAAGAAGAAATAATAATAATAATAATAATAATAAATAATAATAATAATGATAATAATAATAATACTAATAAATAATAAATAATAATAATAATAATAATAATAATAATAATAATAATAATAATAATAATAATAATAATAATACTAATAATAATAATAATAAGAAGAAGAATAACAATAATAATACTAATAACAAGAATAAGAATGATTAATAATAATAATAAAATTATTATTAATAATAATCA